TCCTCTAGGTCTCCAATCGCTAAATAAGTTTTGTTATGTTAGACCTTTTTATCTTGGCTTTCTCCAAGGTCTGTCTCATTTTCCATCTCAGTTCATCCGCCTGAGCCTGAGGGATGTTCAAGGCCACCTCCTTGACTCTGGTAATGATGTCCAAGTGTGGCACCCGCCTGATGGTTGTGGCGAAGTTGAGACCCTTATTCAATACTGACTCCACAGAGGCACTCAGCTGATATTGGCTGATGTTGACTACTGCTTTCACTGGTGGGTGATGGACCTTGTGCGTCACCTTCTTATCTTTTAATCTGTTTAATTTTTGCACTTGGCGAGCCATGACTACATCAAATTCATGTCTGAAAGATTTATCCAGGTCATTTTGGATCCTACTCTGGTCTTCTCCATTAGTAATTCTGTTGAAGAAATTTTCTAGCGTCTGGGAGTTATGAGCTTGTAGTCACTGTTTTATCCAACGATTGTACTGGATTCTCTCTCAGACAAGGGCGTGTCCAGATTTCTCTGCGCCCCGACGAGCTCTCCTTGAATTGACGGGAAGTCTTGGCACCGACAACGCAAAGTATTGAAGAAGAAATCGAAAATGTCTATTCAAAACTAGACAAGGCCAAGGCTCTTTGCAAATCACAGGATGTCATCATTATCATGGGAGACCTAAACGCCAAAGTAGGCAGCGAGAGGGTAGGGGATATAGCAGGAAAATTCGGACTAGATACCCGCAACGAACGGGGAGAAAAATGGATCCAATGGTGCACGGCCAATGACCAAGTAATAGCCAACACATGGTTCCTAGATCATCCGAGACGATTGTGGACACGGAGGAAACACTAAAAACCAAATAGATTACATAATTATCAACAAAAGATTCTGAATTTTCCTTTAACTCCAAAACCTTGATTTCCTGTGCCGACTTAAATATCGCGATCGTCGCCTTGTTACATTTGTATATATTAAGAGTGAAACTACAGAAACAGAAGAAGCCTAACGCAGTACTCAAGCCGCAATACAACAAACCCCTGAACGACTAGAACCTGAAAGAAAAATATACGGAAAATGTGAAAAGAATATACGAGGGACACAATTAGGAAACTCAAAAAAAATCACTCTAACAATTTTCACCCAGCCCTTTACCTCCGACGTCTTAAACTAAACAAATTGAGGTGTTCAATCATTAACCGAACTTAAGGGAGTGGCCAAAAGAAACCCCTGATTATCCGTAGATTATTCGACCGGTCCACTGGTTTAATCCTGCTTCCTGTCCACGTTGTGTTTAGTTTGATCCAGAAAGCAGAAGTGATGCTCATCCATTCACGGTCAACTGAAGATGTAGACACGGCTGGAAAGTCTGCGTTAAGAAATTTAGAATGCAGCAAAAAATATCTGCAGAAAGCTGGACAAACAACTATTCAATGATTGAATTGTTAATGTCTTTTATATAGCAGGAAAGAATGGTATAGAAAAAAAATCCACCAGAAAAAAAAGTAATTGACGTAAAAAACGCATACACCGGATTCTGGACAGAGATATTTTATGATTAACTTATTGTTAAATTACTCAGAACAACTCTTGCGATGGGGAATAAGATTTCAAAAAAAAACTTTATAGTGGCGTTCCTCCTTATCAAAGTAACAGTAGTAGTAATTTTATGGTAGCAGAAGCAGCGTTACTTATATCAACAGTACATGTTAGCAGACGCTTTCGTTTTCTATCTCTGACGTCAAACGTTCTCCCTTGTGTCACCAACTCGACTCTCCACTGTCTCTAGCCCAACTCTTGCCCGGGCTAATTTCTTCTGAACTCTCTTTTTCTGCTTCTCCCGTATCAACGCTCGCCCGACTGCTTCTTCCGTCTGCTTCTTCCATCTACTCTCTTCCGTCTCTACGCTCGCCCGTCTGTCTTTTTCAGCATAACTACGCGTTTATATAGATAAACCAGGCTGATTACAACTGAACCTTGGCCATACTGCTTCGCACGCGATTATCACTGGATTATGGTTGTTTCAACCAAAATCATGTGAATTCTAAAGTTCTTTCTAGCTTACTCAGCTCTATTTCAATTTTCCACACCAGTAAACAAAAATGCTCTGATTTAATTTCGCTATTTAAACCTTTAATCCAATTTCACAATATATATATATATATATATATATATATATATATATATATATACGGGTGTGTGTTTGTGTGTGTGTGTGTGTGTGTGTGAATGTTTTCAGACTTTTAAAAAGGAATCTCCGTCACATCACTAAGAGACGCATTAGTGGCATCATCAAACGATTTATCCCAAAGGAGTACAGACGGAAAAGAAAAAACGAATGGATGACTGAGGAGATTCTCGACATTATGCAAAGGAGACAGACAATTCTGCCAAGTGATGGAACAGAATAGAGAAAATTACACAATGAAATAAGGACCAAATGCAGACAGGCTAAAGAAGAATGGCTAAACAAAAACTGTACAGAAGTCCAGAGATTGTGTACCATCAACAAAGGAGACATGCACAAACAAATAAGACAGCTAACAGGACAGAAGACATGTTCATCAACAGGCTGCCTAAAATCAAAGGACGGAACATTCATATTAGAGAAGGAAAATATTCTTCAACGCTGGGGGAAGTATATTGGCGAACTCTTCCAAGACGAAAGAAAACAATCAGCAATACACAGAACGACCGACGGACCTGAAATTCTAAAACTCGAAGTAGAACACTGCACTGGCCAAATTGAACAGTAACAAGGCGGCAGGGCCAGACGGAATCGTAACGGAAATGCTGCCAGCCTTAGATGAATTTCGCATAGACAAGATCACAGAAATCATAAATGAAATCTACAATAGTGGAGCCGTACCGGAGGATCTCAACACTACCTTAGAAACCAGGTGCAAACGAATGCGGGCTCCACTGTACAATCAACCTAATGAGCCACGTCACAAAACTCCCCATCTGCATTCTGATGAATAGAGCGCGCAACAAAATCGGGTCAGAGATAGGACAAGAACAGTGCGGGTTCGTCAAAGACACCGGAACAAGGAACGCAATATTCATGCTTAGAATGTTATCAGAAAGAGCAAGACAGATGCAGAAAGACGTATATCTATGTTTTATAGACTATGCAAAGGCATTCGACAAAGTACGCCACAAAGACCTGCTAGAACTCCTCAGAAACCTTATATTCAGGAAAGATATCAGAATAATCAAGAACCTATACTGGCAGCAAACGGCATACATTCGCATCGAGAATAAGCTCAGCGAATATAACAAAATAGAAAGAGGCGTAAGGCAAGGATGTGTCTTCTCACCGGACTTATTCAACCTATAAAGCGAGGCAATTCTGAGAGACTTGGAGATTCTACCGGGATTCATCGTTGGCGGCCATAACCTTACCAACATGATACGCAGATGACACAGTACTGATAGCAGACACGGAAAAGAAATTACAAGACCTTCTACAGAAGGTAGAAACGGAGAGCGAGAAGAAAGGACTAACTGTGAACTACAAAAAGACAGATTGCATGGTCATCGGTAAAAGGATGATCCTAAAATGCGATTTGCAGGTCGGAGACACTAAAATCAAACATGTGCGGAAGTTTAACTATTTGGGAAGTGTTCTGATGGAGGACGGTAGGTGTGACGCTGAGATCCGAAGACGGATTGGAATGTCCAAGGATGCATTCCAGAATCTGGGAAGAGTATTGCGAAACAGGATTTCTATGGTGACAAAGAAAAGAGTACTGAGCTACTACGTGACATCCGTCCTCCTATACGGCAGCGAATGTTGGATGGTATCCTCAAGGATGAAGAAGAGACTCGAGGCGGCGGAGATGTGGTTCTACAGAAGGATGCTGAGGATATCATGGACCGAGCATGTGAGCGACGATGAGGTCTTGGAGATGATACAAACAATGTTATGCTTAACACAAGGAAGAGGTTAATGAAATTTCTGGGACACGTAATGTGAAAGGAGGGCCTGGAGAATCTGATACTCACAGGTCGAATAGAGGGAAAAGGAGACGGAGGAAATCAGCGCATGACGTACCTGACAGGCTTGGGCAAGTGGATGACGGAGCGTGGTCTGGGAGAGTTGGCAGAAACACAAAATCTGTTGAGAGCCACAAGGGATAGAGGAACGTGGAGGGCCATGATTGCATACGTCCTGAAAAGTACATAAAAATATATATTGTGAGATCTCTGCCTTTCTATAGATGCTGAAAATGTTTAATAGAAAGATATATTGTTAATAGCTCCCTAGAAAATGTGCTGTATTTAGTTTGTGCCTTGTTTAGTTTAGCGGAGAAGAAAGAGATAGGTGTGGCGTGTTTGTCCAAGACTTGGTGTATAACTGCACATACAGCTGTTGATGAAGCATCTTTTTTGAGGGTAAGTTTAATTTTCTCGCTCTCTTTGATGTAATTCAGCTTAGTAAAGTTAGCTAAAGCTGTTTTTGCATTATTGAATACTTCTAGAGTGTCTTCCTTTAACATAGGCTGAAGGGGTCTCTTTGCCGTTTGTAAAAGCTGTCGCTTTTAGATGGTAAGCGAGAACGGCGTGGAGCTTGGTGACAGCTGTACATAACCTGTTTGGCGCTGGATTTCGTGTGTTTTTATACACTTTTTCGTAAGAAAATCGGCTCCAGAATTAAATTATTTATTTATTTCTAATTGGTTCGAATAAACCACATGGTATGTCTTATGCTGCATCCACACCTAAATCATTATGACTAATACAACAAACTTTCTGATTTGTTACTCTATGGTTTTATTGGTGTGTTTTAAGATTTAAGTATTTACTTGAGTGTGATTGGTATATAAATATTGTATTTGATATTTTAGTAGACACGACAGTATCAGTAAAGGGGGTGACGGGAAGTATAGAATAGAAGTGACTACGACACAGCCTTTATAAAAGCTAAACTCTTTCTCTGCTTCGCAATTAACAACAGTCTAGTGTTTAGAAAGAAAGCAGTCACCTTAATCAGCCCTTTTTAAAAAAACGCAATGGATGAGAGACGGCCACCATCTGTTTCAAGCGAGTTACTTGAAAATCTTGGCCAAGCAACGCATGGAAGCTCCTCATCGACCCCAGACAGCCCCACACGGGTTCGTGGACCATCACAGAATAGATTCAAGTTCATTTTGATTGCGATAGCAACTGTTGGAATTGTTCTTTTGCTTGTTTCTTTCTCGTTAATCAACATTGATCACCCAACCAAAAAGCAACATGGCAACCCACGTGGGGATGATATCAATAAACCACAGGCTGTCAACTATCGAACTGGGCCCTCAGAGACACTTCGGGCCGATGCTAAAGAACAGGACACAGAGTTGCCTGTGTTGTTGACATTCACCAATGTGAAAAAGAACCCAAGTCTTCGTTCTAATTTAGAATTGTGCGTTAAATCCATGCTTACCCACGCATCGAGTGATTTACATTTGATATTTATAATACTTGGCGACGTATACAGCCAAGAAATTGCCGCTTCGATCATAAAAATTACAGCTGAAACAGTCCCAAATAAAGTCAAATACGAGGTAACATTTTTTTTTCTTAGCACCAATTATATTTTTTTACAGATATAAATCAAATTATGCTTGCTTGCGGGGATATTGCACTAAAAAGTTTTTAAACGAAGTTCGTTTTTTTTTTTTTCAAAAAGTTCAATAATGACTGTCGGTAATAACTTAAACTTTTTTAGTTGAAACTTTAAACCTATTTTTGTACGAAAATATATATTTTTAAATGGATATAACGTTACCTTTTTTTTAAAATTTAACTTTTTAAACTTTTTTTAGGAGGCGGTTCGATTTACAATAAAAGTTTAATGTTAAATTCAAACTTTTTAACACTTTTTGCGTCTACTGCATGATGAAAATAATGAGTCTTTTTCGCTTGTACATGGCGGCCATAATTTTAAACAAACGAAAACTAAAATCATAAAATGTTTTTTTTTTTATTTGTTTCGTTTTGTTTTTTCAACGAGAAACAGTACTAAAACAAAATTGTCACTAGTAAAAAATATGGGAAAATACTTTTGAAAACCATTTTGGTTGATTCGTATTTTTTAGGCCACGTCACTTCTAAGGATCGACAAATATTGATTGGTTATTAGGAAGACAGTCCTTTTTAGCGATCCAGTGTAAAATCGATCCCTGACTTGGGAGTGTTGTGTGGGGAATGAGCACTTTGTTTCAAACTATGGCGTATATATCCGCGTCATGTTTTTTTTTTTTGGTTCTTTTTTTTTTTTCTCAGAATCTCTAAAAGTTTTCTTTATACTTTATTTTATTTTTAAACATTGGGTTATATTATTTAAAGTACATTTATTAATTTATGTAAATTTGAAAATCCCCCGGGTCCCTTTTAATAATTATTTTTTTCGGAAATAGCTAAAAAGAAAAGAGAAGGATTTGCTCCTCTGGAAGAGAAATCATTTTTGTTTCTGCATTTTATAAAGTTTAGAAAAACTTTGTTCTTTAATTAAAAATATTTACATCTGCTGGTAATTTAATGACAAACATTAATATATATATATATTAGAATTTACCGCTTCCAATGTCTTTTACAAGGGAATTTTTCTCCTTTTATGTCGTATATGACTAAACCCTGCCAAGTAGAACACGGTAGCAGTAATCGACTGGTACGCGTCGTAGTCGCTGGTAAGAAGTGTAGATCAATGGGCGTCGTTATAGACTTAGACTCTGACGTAGCCTTCACGTCCGTTGGTATTTATGACGGAGACCAGCCAATCACATTCCAGTGAGGAGGAACACAGGTGTATGCATATTCCATTATATCACAGATGATCTCTGTTGGTCACTGCAGATGATCCCTGATCGTTACAGATGATCTTTACTGGTCATTGCAGATGATCGGTGTTTATTACAGATGATCGCTGTTGGTCGTCACTGGTTGTGGAGGATGATCGCTGATCGTGGCAGGTGATCTCTGTTGGTCACTGTAGATGATCTTTTTAGTCTCTTTTTTCCAGTGGGAAATTTCAATTGACTATAACTGATTCCCACTTCATAGACCAAACATTCGTGTAGCCATTAAGGCAGAAAACAACATTTTTTAAAATATCTTTGTCTGTTTTCGTTGTGTTCACATTTAGCCTGCATTGTTTTAATAGAAGTATTTTTATAAATTTCATCTGATAATATCATTGACTGTTCAGCCGATGAATTTTGACATTTTTCTGATGAGTAAATTCTTAAGACTACCATTACTTTTTTTATTGTTCTTTTTTTTCAGTTTGTTACTTTAATGCAGTGTGAATCTTCTGCCTTCATAATTCTTGCTCTTTTAGTGTTCTCTCTTCTTTTTTCCTCATATTCTCTAACACTCGGTAAACTCTTGCGTCTTAGTGGCTTTATTGCCTTGAGGTTAGATGTATAAAAATGTCTGAAAAAAACAATAGCTTGTGCAAACATTCACATTATTCAAAAAATTATAAATAATAGATAAAATTGTTTTAATAGAATATATTTATAAATTCAAACTGATAGTAACGTTGGCTGTTCAGTTGATGACTTCTGATTGTTTCCTTATAAGGAAACTACTAAGTCTACTATTTCCTTTGTATTTTTCTTTTTTTTTTTTTTTCCAGTTTGTTACTTTGTAACGTTGGCTGTTCAGTTGATGACTTCTGATTGTTTCCTTATAAGGAAACTACTAAGTCTACTATTTCCTTTGTATTTTTCTTTTTTTTTTTTCCAGTTTGTTACTTTGGATATAGATAATCTGACTGGCCTCCTCCTCAACATTATCCATGGCTTGCAGCAGTTTTTCAGCTCCAAACAAGACACCTACTACAGCCAGTCATTGTTTTTCCTGTCATTGGCCATCCATCGAATCATGCCGTCCACATTGAAGAAACTCATCATGTTAGATGTTGATCTCAAATTTGAAGCTGACATTGCCCAGTTGTTTGGACATTTTGATCGTTTCGCTGACACAAACATAATCGGAATTGCCCGTGAGATGCAGCCTGTCTACCGACATATTTTCCACGCATACCGTGACGAGAACCCAGGCACTAGGGTTGGAGGCCCCCCTCCAGACGGTCTCACAGGTTTCAATAGTGGAGTGTTACTGTTGAACATGGAGCGTATGCGGAAATCTGAATTGTACAATGCCTTTCTTGAGCATGATGTCATACATAATTTGACGATCAAATACAAATTTCAGGGCCATCTTGGCGACCAGGATTTTTTTACCTTGCTGTCAATGGAACACGAAGAATTGTTTTACATTCTACCCTGCACCTGGAATCGGCAACTGTGCCAATGGTGGAGAGACAAAGGCTACGAGGATGTTTTTGATGACTACTACAGCTGTACGGGAAAAGTGAATATCTTTCATGGAAATTGTCACACGCTAATTCCATCCTGAAAAATCCTGTAAGCATTGTACACATTGGCTCATGAATTTGGTGCTGTTACATTTGTGAGTTCAATCCCTGGGCTGGGTAGTATATGCTAAAAAGAACAAAACAATCTGCCCCTGTAGACTAAATAGAGCTTTCCCAGATCAGCAAGCACCAGGACACACGGGTAATGAAAAGTGATCAAAATGTTGTGATAATTATGAAGACGAGGGTTATTAGACACCAAGTGTAAATAATGTAAAGTTTCTTATCTCAATCTACAATAATTCCCAAAATAAAGAATAAAACTTAATTTTTATATATCTATTTTCTTATTCATTTCTTTGATATTAGCCAAAATCAATGTTCATGCCAGAGTTTCAGAGCCTGGTCAAAAGTATATATTAGTCCCCAAGTGCAAATCAAGAGTTACAAACAGCAAAAATGGCGTGATAAGAAAGTGGCCATGTTACCGAAAAAATCACAGACTACACACACACACACAAAAAAAAAAAAAAAAAAAAAAAAAAGGAAAGAAAAAAACGAATAAAAGAGTTGAAGGAATTATTGTGGCTAATTCATATACTTCAACGATGAGACAGGATGGAAATAGGGAGAGTGAGCAATGTCAAATAGGTCTTCCCCTATTGTGGTTTATCTCCACAGGGGTGGGTGCTTAAGTAGCTGTCAAAACAACTGGAGCTCCTCCCTCCTGTTGCAAAAGATCTCATTTTTCACAAATCCAGAACGTCCTGTTGCGGGGTCCTGTATAAGAATTTATATGATAAAAAAGACATATAAATTTTATATAAAAATAATTAAAAGGTAAATAAAAACAAAATAGTTCAAGTTTGACTCTCTTTTGAGGGAAATGTTTATAAAAACTTATTAGTCTCTGTATTTTTCTGAGGTATTATGTAGATTATTTACATTATTCGGACTATTGTCCTCATCTCTGTCGCCATGTTTATCACAAAGTTTCGGCCGTTGTACGCTCCGGCCTTCTTCAGGTGGTTGGAATATCGAACTGAACCCTTTATTTCGCTCACTGGCGTAGACTGTTCTAGTTCCACGTGCCATGTTTGATGGATGTCAGTGATCAGTTATCTCCTATTAATTTTTCCCTTAACCGGGTATTGAACTCACACTCTTTGGTGATCCTGTCACTGGATCTAACCAACGTCTTTATCCTTTTATGTGAGTTCAATACCCAGTTAAGGCAGTGGAGAACTTGGAGAGGAGAATTAACAACCTACTATAATGAAACTAGATGGTTAGTAAAAAATAGCTTGAATAAAATTTGATGTGTAAAACTTTGTATATGTGAGGCTCAGATTAATGTAAGAAGTCTTATGGCATGAAACAAATTTTGGTTTAAAGAGATACATTTTGTGATTTTCTTTTACCTTTTTCTTTTGACCAATAGTGAAAGTAAGTTAAAACTCCATAGTATCAGGTTTCTATTTGAATTCAGAGCTGACTTGTGGCTATTTAAGAAGTCTGGTTTGCCTGACTGACAGACGAGACTTGACTTTCACAAGGAAGATGGCAGTTGGTTGCTAGACTTAGCTGAAGAAGAAAAAGAAAGCAGAAAGTTTTCTGCATTCCCAAGGGCAACGACTCTGATGATGAAAAGAAAGCAGGCGGAGGAGGAGAAAAGTATGAATTGAAGTATGTGATCATTTTGTTGTTAATCATTATAATTGTTTTTATGAGTCTAACAGTATTGTAATTAAAACTTGTTTTCTTGCCTAAGTATAAGACACACAAAGAAAAATTTTCTGCAAGATTGTTTTGTATATTTTGTATTCTGTGCTGCTATTTTTTATGTATTTTAATAAATGCCATTTTTTTCATATTTTATATTAAAGTAAGGGTCTTGTGTTTTTTCATATAAATAGTTATATAGCAATTGTTCGAATGAGTTTTCGTCATTAGTACCTCGGCATGAATTTAATTGTTCTACTAGATTGGCAGATAGGTCTCATCGTTTTACTGTTGAAATGGCTAGCTGTAACCGTAAGTTATATTCTAATAGACTTAAATATAATGTCAGTTGCCATCTTCTGCCTTCTTTTATTCTCCTGTCTTCCTGCTAACTTTTTTTATTTTCTTTCACTCTAAGTAACCCCTTGCATCTTAGTGGCAGTATCATCTTGCTTGGGGTGAAATGATTAATAATAATAATAATAAAGAATCTTAGCAGCAACGACCAAAAAAGCTGTTTTTATATAGACAGTGCTTTCTGGCTGGCTCATAATGGCCCCAGATTGGTATATATAAATTAGATAAAAGGGAGAAAAGTTAACTTAGTATCCGAATCTTTGGGGGTTTTGTTTTTTCACAGATGGGCTTTTTTTTTTTTTCTTTTTCAAAGATGGTAGAATAATCCAGAATTTATCCTGCAAGGAATCCGTCTGCATTTGGACTGACCATCACCTGCAAGAAGACAGAAAGAATGGTCATCAGCTGTCTTGATTGATTTGTTTGTTTAATTGCATATCAACATCTTAATGGGTCATTTAATGACGAAATTTACTTTTCTTAAAATCCCTTAAATAATTTGTTAATTTTACTATAAATATGTATTGTTGGTAATATTTTTATATAAAAATGCATTTACCTGGTATTTTTACCAAAAAAAATGTATTTTTATACTTTTCTGTTTTGATTTTTGGTGGTGAGTGGGGGGGTCACTATTCTCCATAGCTCGGACCCTGACAGGTGTTACCACTCCGGGTCAGGGTAAACCTGGGAACAACAGCGATTAAAATGTGGTTTCACTCTCCTCAAAACCCCCAACTTCTGATAAGAGTTTTGCGGTCCAATGTAGTTTATCCGTCATACCTTGCAGCAAGAGAAAGAGACGAAGATGTGAATTATGAATTGGATATATAAACATTAACCAGTTGCAGAAAATCAAATATATAGAGAAGCATCTTAACAGAGGATGCTACTAATGTCTTACCGTTATGTGGGAGCTACTTCTGCCACACCCTGGAGACCTATGATAGACAATATAGAATCAAGAAACTTTAAAACTTAATATCTTACTTAGAACCTCGCCACACTTACTTTCTCTTCTATGTATCATGTCCCTTCAGGACGCGGGCGATCACAGCTCTCCACAATTTCATGTCTTTTGTAGCTCTCAGTAAATTTTGTCCTTTCCCAGTCTCTCCTGATCTATGTTCTACGAAGAGTTTACACAAGTTTGTACTTGTCTATATCTCCGAGATGAGGTATTACTTGCATTATTTACGTTATTCGGAGTATTATCCACATTTATGTTGCCATATTCACAACGCTCCGGCCTTCTTCAGGTGATTAGATCTGTGAGATGAAGTATTATGATTACTTGCATTATTTATATTACTAAGACTGTTATCCCCATCTTCATTGCCATATTCACAACATTTCACAATCACCTGAAGAAAACTGGAACGGACAACGACTGAAACGTTGTGCATATGGCAATGAAGATGAGGATAACAGTCCTAGTACTGAAAATGATGCAAGTTTGTACTTCTTCCTCTTTTTATTCTTTTTTGCAGCGTGTCTCTTTAGGACATTGGTAAATTTTGTCTTTTCGCTATCTCTCCTAAACCTTGTTCTGCCAATAACTTACACAAGCTTGTTCTTCTTCTCCGTCTACATACTTTGAGAATGTGGATGATCGTGGCTCCCCACAATTTCCTATCCTTTGTAGCTCTAAGTAATTTACAAATCGCAGCAATGCGACAATTTTGTAATCGCTCTATTTTCATGTAGAAAGTTTTGTGCACTATTGGGAGAAACGGATCACAAAAGCGTTCTTAAGTCTCCCCAAAGCTCGCTCGCTGATTGGTCTATGCCAACCAATCAGATCGTCTGCACGTGAAGAAAAATTCTTCCCGCGCAGCGATCTGGAGCCTATAGTCACTTATTTAAGCAAGAATTTTTCTTAGCTAATTAGTGAGAATTCAGCTGCCATACGAATCCATGACAGTTGAAACCATGCGCCAATCTTCTAACTCACACACACCACTCACATGCTGAACATACCTTGTATATACTCACATAATCTTTTCTAACACGGCAAATCTTTTAAGAACAGTCATTATCAGAGACTCTCATGAACATTCTTCCAGTGAACTTTGGAACACTAAAATAACAGTTAAATAGAGACAACTCTTGGTTAATTCAACCTTTTCTTACTTAAATGCATGCTTTCTTTCACATCGTTGCTTGATATTGTACATCTTGTTAAATACATATTTTATGTGTAACAATGTCTTTGGCTTATCCTTTTCTGCGTCAGTCCTGTTTCCTAATCTAAAGTTAAATTAATGTGGTGAAGTCCGCCACAGAATAAAGCAGCTATTTTTTAGTAATTCTTATTGTTGTCAATTCATTACAAATTGATTCAATATTACTGTACTACTATTATTACTACTACTGGTTGATGTGGGGGACTTGGGTGTATTATTTCTAAGTGTTGGTTCGGTGTTTGCTATCACACCAATAAAAAAAGCCCAAACCCAAACAGATGTTTTTCTTTAAATTGTAAAAAGTTCCTTGTAAGTACCTCGAATATCATCCGAACTGATGAAATGTGAATAACTCCCTGATTTTTGGTAATTTTTCATTCTAAGGGTTGGAGTTGTTGCGAGGTAAGCGAATAGGATAAAAACTCCTTGTTAGAAAATTTCTTCTTCGAAAATAATATTTCAACTCAAACAATTTTTTTTTAAATAACCACAACGTTGAGTCACTTAGGAAATGCATATGAGCAACACCATCCAACTTATGGAAGCCATAATAACGGTAAACTTCAAAGAATGAGTAATTTAGTTTTCACCCTCACAATAACACAAACAAAAAAACCTTTACGCACCAAAGAATCTTTACATCTGTAAAGATATTTTATTATGAAATGATGCAGTAAAATGGCCTCTTTGCCCTACTTACTCGGGACCATTTCAAGTAGGTGACAGAAAACCAAAATATTGTATAGTCATAAAATAAAGTGTAAACAAGACAGACT